GGCATGACGGAGCAGGCTCTGCACCTGCTCGTCAGCTGACGCCCTTTTATTTGTCACCTGCGCTCTGAGGCCTTGCTAATTAGTTTACATAGTGATTTCAAATTAACCTTGAATGTGAAAATAAAAAGTTTATTTTTGCTCGGTCATAGTTTGGCAAGGCCTACAGGTTGTAGTCTAACCTGGTGCCAGCTGGAATAAGCTCCAGCCCTCCCATAAACTCACTACGAAAATAACTTGAAGCTATTTTCCATAAAAATTAAGGGAAAGTGGAGCGTTTAACAAACATGGTGTAACTTTTCTGATTATTTGAGCGTTAAATATAAAGAGGTTACACAGAGCAGACTGAGCCAATTAAAGGAAGACGTGAACAAGATGACATGCAAGTGTTTTCACGGCAAAACAGCAAATGATCTCTGAATGAGCCTTAAGCCTGTGGTGGGATATTAAAACTGGGACATTATTGGTGCATATTCGTTTTTATTAAAAGAAAACATGTCTCAAATTGAGCTTTGCATGTAGCTGAACCCTGTTTCCACTAAAAAAAAGTAATCCACAGGAAATCATTACATTTAAATTGCTCATTTGCTTACCATACTGTGCTTACATATACAGTACTTTTTGTCAGCTTGTTTTTAATGGAGAAAATACTGTTTTTTTTCCCCATCTGCAGACACAAATAAAACCCTGGGTGATAAGTATGGGAAAACTAAAGTTCGAAAACAAGCTGAGAAAATGAACCAGGACCCCTGTAACATGCAGTTTGAAGGGGTATATGGGGGCATTGAGGCCTGTGAGTGTGTGTTAGAGACTGTGAGGAAGATTTATAAAGCCTTTATAAGCAAATCAGTTGGAAATGTTTGACCAGTTTCCTGGCATTTATTGGATTAACCATCTTCAAGAACCAACCTATGAGACATCTGATTGTTATGAACGGATGCTTAACTTTCGTTTGGCTCTTTTAATAAGAGTCACCAAATTTCTCCATATGTCTTCCTTATGGGGGTGGTGGGGGGCTTTATTTGCAGTAACCCAAAGCAATCCATTAATCTTTATATCTCTCTATCTGGCAAACACTTGCATCTATTTCTACAGAATTAAAATGACATCATCTGTCGACCGAGAATGGTTTTCATAAGAAACTAAATTCAGCGCACCCCTGAAATAACACGAGTGTTATGTGCACAGGGGCTCTTTTGTTAAGTCTTGTTTTAATTTCAACACATCTAGAACTCCAATCCTTAATCCAATGTCCTCTCCAAAAAATTTGTGCCTGTAGTGATGTAACGTGCGAAACATTTCAGGGATTCATACTTTTTTATTAATTCCTCTCTGGAACGCACAGAAAGCTTAAAGACATTTGAACAAGATCCTGTTTACACTTTTACACTCGTGGTTTTATTGTTTAATCACTGAACAAGTAAACTCAACACTTTGAATTTTTCTCTTTAATTTTATTTTTATACTTAAACAAATAGGAATTTCTCTTCGGCTCTCTTTTTAGGAAGCAAATGCAAAGAAATATCCTGATGCATGCTCAATAATCCAGGTAGAAAAATCTAAAACGGTTAAATCTGGTCCTCTGGACATTCAAAAAAAACAAAACAAAGCAAAACAACAACAAAAAAAAATGTAGAAACGTTTCGTCTCTCATCCGAGAGACTTCCTCAGTCTGAGGTGCTGTTTTCAGCTCAGTCTCTTAAATAGCACCTTCTCAGAGTGGATCAACCAGTTTTGCTGCTGACAACCAAAACCAACTGATCACATGCTCAAGAAGGACCATCAGCCTAACAATGGATCATTAGCACACTGATGGCTGTTTACTGTTCACAGAGGGCTGAGTGATACTAGCAATCACAGCATTGTAAGAGGGGGACAGTTGAACACGTAGGCCTCCACCCCTGTTTAATGATGGACAATTTCTTTTCACAAAGATGGCCTCCTTTACTCCTCTCTCAAACCATCGTTCCTCTCTGTCCAGGATGTGAACATCTTCATCCCTGAAAGAGTGACCGCTGGCCTGGAGATGAGTGTAGACCGCCGAGTCCTGGCCTGATGATGTTGATCTTCTGTGCTGGGCCATCCTTTTGGCCAGTGGCTGTTTAGTTTCCCCGATGTAAGACTGATCACAGCCCTCCTGACACTGAACAGCATACACAACATTACTCTGTTTGTGCCGGGGGACTGGATCTTTGGGATGAACCAGTCTTTGCCGTAATGTATTTTGGGGTTTAAAAGCCACTGGGACGTTATGTTTAGAAAATAAACGTCTGTTTCTCTGATACTCCCTCAACATATGGAATGACCACTGGTCTGGGTTCCTCCTTTTCACCTGTTGGCTGACTGGAGTCCTGTTTGGGTTTCTTCTCTGCTTTCAGGAAGGCCCAGTTAGGATATCCACATTGCTCTAGAGCCTGTCTTGTGTGGGATTTCTCCTTCTGCCTGGCTCCTGAGCTAGTGGGGACGCTGTCTGCTCTGTGATACAGAGTCCTGATGACTCCTAACTTGTGCTCCAAAGGGTGATGGGAGTCAAACTGCAAATACTGGTCTGTGTGGGTGGGTTTGCGGTACACCTCAGTTTGCAAATGTCCTCTATCAGAGACTGAGACCTCACAGTCCAAGAAAGCCAACCTGCCATTTTTTTCATCTTCTCATGTGAACTTGATGTATTTATCCACAGAGTTGATGTGGTCAGTAAAATGTTGGACTTCCTGAGATTTAATTTTAACCCAGGTGTCGTCAACATACCTGAACCAATGACTTGGTGGTGTCCCTGAAAAGGACGTCAAGGCTCTCTTTTCTACCTCCTCCATGTACAGGTTGGCAACAATAGGAGAAACTGGAGACCCCATAGCACACCCATGTTTCTGCCTATAATATTGCTCCCCATATGTGAAGTAGGTTGACTGCAGGCACAGTTTCAAGAGTTGACACAGTTGTTCTGTGTCCACAGAATAACTGCGGCCTGAACTCAGCAATAAGGCCTTTTCTTACTCTGCTCCTGTAACTTGGAACACCTTGTGACTCTGTGATACTACCTCCATAAATAAAGGTTGTTGTTGTTTTATATAATGTAAATGTATTCATCTCATTAATAGTTTAATTGTATAGAAGTTTTTCCCAGCACTTTGTTCCACAATTTAGTTTAAAGCATATATTTTTACTGATTGACATTGTTAAAATTAACACGTTTTCTTCATTCGCTTTAGAGAAAAGAAGGGGATTTCACACTGGTATCATGCAATAAAATGCCAAACATCAATAAGCACAAGGCGTCTCAGAGTTTTCTCATGTTATATGAGAGAGGCTGCTTCTTTCTGTTACGATGTTCTTCTTTTGCTTGGGAACAAGATTTCCTGAGACTTCCATCAAACTTAAAAAGCAAAATAAAACAAAAGCAAAACCTCTTAAGTGACAACCATGTGATTATACAGAATCTTTAATGTTTTTGTGGACTGTCAGCCTATTGTTAGCTGAAATGGTTTCAATCCCCCACATCTTTAGCTTGAAGCTTTTCCCACCAGAATCTGTCTGTCATTTACAACTGATATCATCATCATAAGTATATTCAGTGCAGGCTGCTACATCTTTAATCATAGATTAGTTGTCCAGTTACTGTATGAAGCTAATAATTAGCAGTTTTTCAGTGTTATTACAAGATTGACTTTTCTTTCACCTTGTGAGACAACAATGCAACAAAGCACATTTTCAGGCATCTGATTACTTACATGACAACACCTTGAGGTCATTAAAGGTCAATTCTGTATCTTCAGCTGTTGGAGATTATGCTAGGAGTGAACATTAAAGATAGTTTGCTTGTAAGGATGCTAAAGACTCTTCAGGCTATTGTCGAAGTGGAGCCTACATACCCAAGAATGAGAGCCCATGTTCTGGAGTTCTGCTCTTCCGAGCAACGATCCTATCAAAGCCGACCACAAACCACCCAGATCTGAAGTTAGCATGGGGGGAAATGACCCAGTGTTTCCATTACCTCCCCTTCATGCTATGGCACGAGGGCTGCGTGGCATTTATCATAATTAATACTTGATTTAAAGTTCTCAAAGAAAAACACACGGAGGTTTGAAAAGAGACGTTTACTTAAGAGCAGCTTCCTTTAATGACTGCTGTAAATTTTGCTCCTATCGCTGCGCAACAGCTATGGGAAGAAATGCAGCCAAACTTTCTTCTCACATACTTCATATTTTATTACTTGACTTGTCCTCGTAAGGGTTTGACTTTGTGTGTTTAGGGGGAACGTCCCAACGACCGTTGTGCAGATTGTCATTAAATTTTGGATCTGACAGTAGAGGATCATCTAGTGATCGTATGAAGCTTCCCCCTGCGGGTCGACAAATGTTTTCGTACTGTGTAATTTAGTGGTGTTCCTTATGGTGAGGTGGTTCTCATTCCATGCCTGTGTTGGCTTAACTGCACCTCAAATGGAAAGTGTCCTCATTTCTCAACAGCAATGATGTCTCAGCTCATGGGTGCCTGAATCTTTTCCTCGTATAAAGTAATGCTGAAAATTGACCTTGGGAGGGAAGTACGTGGCAAAACGGGGCTTTTCATATGAAAAGATGAAAAGGTCTGAGTCTGGTTTGAGCTTTTGTGTGCGTATGACCTAATTACCATTTAGAGCAGTCGAAATTTCCTAAAACTGGAGTTGATAGTTGACGAAAGATCCGTTTCTCTGGTAACAAGTTAGTCTGTGAATGGCCTAAATCATGGGGTAAGTTAAGGTCTTTTCAACGTATTCATTCATAATGTTTACAGCTCGACTTTGTAAATGAGCATGTGTGTCAGAGCTGACCGAGACTGTCTCAGCCGCAGATGGACTGTCTTTTTCTTTTCCGTTCGGTGTTATGATAAAGGGCAGTTTTATTTGTCGCTTTGCTATTCTCACACAGCTCTTACATCATTCAGTGTTTCAGCGCATCTTTTGTTTGTTTAATTAGGCTGACCTCTGTGTGTGTGTGTGTGTGTGTGTGTGTGTGTGCTTCCAGCTCAGGACAATCCAGACAGTCCAAGGCACAAATACAACTTCATCGCTGACGTGGTGGAGAAAATCGCTCCGTCTGTGGTTCACATTGAACTTTTCCGCAAGTACGTATGAGGTGTACTCCTGTTTGTGTTTAGGTTACAGACTAAAATACCGGTACATTAAAATTTAGTGGCCATTTGTGTGCTTAACTAGTCTGCAGCAGCTGACAGAGCACCACACTCTCCTATTCAGTTGTTTTACTACAGTGACACACCAATGGCTGTTTTCTAAGCCAAATTTTGTAATAAATAAATTGATTGATTGCTTGATTCGGATTTTAGTCGATTAAAGTTTATTTTTTAACATTATAAGATGTATAGTAATCAAATTTGTGGTGACTTGACCAAAATCAGAATTGGTGGGTCATTTGGCAGAATGCAGTTCCTCAATTTCTTTTAAAAACTGAACTGAAAATTTGACTTTGTGCATTCTAATAAACTAAATTATTATTTGTTCAGTGTAATGTTTACACCAAATTTCATAAAAATACAGTTTTATAAAGCAAGAAGAAAGTTGCAGCACTAAAGGGCCCGACATACTCCATCCAAAACTGAAAGGTCGGCACGTGGTCAGGTGGTTGCGGGACGTTCGTTTTTTTTCACACACCTTTTGTAATCCATGAGACGCATGGCACAGAGCTCATGGGAAACCCCTCCCACTGCAGTATACATCAACGCACTGGTTTTGTCCCTGCATCCACTGTTTGGCCACAAATCTATCATGAAGAGAGCGCCACACTTTTCATCAGACAGCCTCCTCCAAACACAATGTCTGCATGATCGCCATCCAGGAGTTTTAAGCCATTGGTGCATCCTAGCACATTTCTGCATTGACGAACATGCCCACAAACTTCTGACCAATCACGCAATACTTGGCGCATACACCTGTGAGAAAAAAGTTTGGCCAAGGCCTTGTGTCGAGAAGGGGCGAGTGAAGCTGCTTTGCAAACAAAATGACACAATTTTCTTGACGTTACTGCGACATCGAGAGCCAATTTCGGAACTTCGGATGGAGTATGTTGGGCCCTTAACACCTCTTGTGAATACTTTGTCTTTATTTGTTAGCAATACATAAAACCGTTCAGGGTACTTGCCTTGTAAATACAAATTAAGGACCCGGTATGCATCAAGTAAGTACCTGGGGTGTATCAAATGAGAACCTTGTACTATCAGGTAAGTACTTGGTACATGCGTACTGTATCGCTGCCAAATAAATACAAAGGAATTGCAAGAGACTTATTGCTGCTATTGTGTTGCTTTTGTACCAGATAGGTACTTACCTGGTATGTTCCGGTGCACACTTGCTTGATAAATATCTGACAAGTATTTGACAATTACAAAGTACTTACCATGTACAATCCCAGTATCTACCTGGTATGTATCTTGGATGTACAGGGGACTGGGCTGTATTTCTTATATTGTGTACACTGAGTTCCTACCAGGTATCTGGTATGTACCAGATTGTGTCCAGGTATTTACTTTTTATGTACTGAGCTGAATTATTTACTGTTACCTTTGACTTTTGAATTTTAGTTTTGGGTCTCCTTAACTTTGTAAAAACTTCCACCAAAAATCTGTTTTGGAGAAATTAGCCTCTCTATGATCAGCTCAATGACACCCCGATCTCTCTCTCTGTAAATTTAATATCTTATACTAAACTCTGTAACAGACTCCAACATCGTGTCTTTGTGTGTTTTCTTCAAAGTGGAGATTTGTTTAAAGAATTTTAAAGAAATAAAGAGAGAGAGAGCTAATCTCTTCATCTGTCCTGTTACTGTCTACCCCTGTTCTTCCACAGGATGACTTACTCCAAGCGTGAGGTGGCTGTGGCCAGTGGTTCTGGTTTTGTTGTGTCTGAGGATGGCCAGATTGTGACCAATGCCCACGTTGTGGCGAATAAACACAGGGTGAAAGTGGAGCTGAAGAGCGGCGCCTCCTACGATGCCAAAATCAAAGACGTGGATGAAAAATCGGACATCGCTCTCATCAAGATTGATGCACCGGTCAGTCAAAATGCTACACAGACAACTGAGGGTTGGAGGTGGAAAATGTTCATGACTTAAGCTTCAACGTACAAGCTTTATGCTTACTTTTATTTTTTTATTGTCTAATTTAAACAGGAATCTCTTCAAGCAACAGACTGATACATTAGGGGTGTGCATTTAATTTCATGTCAAGAAAGATCACAAAGATCCAAGATCCACTGTACAACTAGTTTTAGTGTAAAGTTGTATGTGGAGAAAGTTTTGGAAACTTTTTCCATGTTTGCTTTTGGATGCAGAATGAACACATGAGCAAATCTGTTTGGCAGTCAATAAACCAAAATAAACCATATGGTAAACTAAATTAACGAACACCTGGAAATACAGGAAGTATTTCACAAAAATTTGGACAAATGTGTGAATTAGAACGTAAATGTTGCAAAAACGGATACAGATATTCTTTACTGTCATTAGCACCACACGCGGTACATGTGGTGTGAACGAGATTATATACACAGGGTCCCAGTTACTTCAACAATAAAATGTAAAAGAAAAACAGTAATAAGATCTAAAGATATGAACGAAGAACATCAACTAAATATACACTAAGCACTAATAGCATAAAAATAATAAAAACAACACGCCGAACAGCAGCACGAACATTAGTCTGTGTGAGTAGATAAGTATGAATGAACACAGCAACATGAAACAGATCAGCAGCAACATGAAACGGATCAGCAGCAACATGAAACAGATCAGCAGCAACATGTGATTTTTCACAGTGATTATTCTGGGAAGTGACGCTAGCAGGACCTGCTTTAAATGTATTTTTGGAAACGGTCTATGCACGGTGGCACGATGGATCAGTTGCTAGAGCTGTTGCCTCAACGCTGTATCAAATCCCGGCCTGGGACCTTTCTGGGTGGAGTTTGCATGTTCTCTTTGTGCATGCATGTGTTTTCTCCGGGTATTCCGGTTTCCTCCCACAGACCAAAAACATGCATGTTAGGCTGATTGGTAACTCTTAATGGTCCCTAAGTGTGAGTGGTTGTCTCTGTGTCCCTGTGATGAACATGCGACCTGTCCAAGGTGTCCCCCGCCTCTCGCACAGTAACTGCTGGATATGAGTGAGCCTCGCAACCCAATAAGAAAGAAGCGGGTAAAATGGATGGATGGAAGGTCGGTTGGATGGTTGAACTATGCACTAGCAACGTGGGGCTTTAAATCCTGCCTACTGACCATTTACACAATCATGAAGTCACATGACCATGCATGGCCATGTGACTTCATGTGGCTGCATAAAAATAACTGCTTACAGCTCAGAGTTTTAGAAAAACAAAATACTATTTTAATATAAAAACAGTAACGCAGGAACTATGTGAATGAACAAAAGTCAGCAGCTAAAAATAGTTATGCGATGCCTTTTATTTATTTATTTTTTACCTAAAACAACGTCCTGATCTTCATGGACGGGTCGGGACTTGACTTGTGCTAGAACCAGCCGACGTGGAGAATCGCTCTCGGTCAGAGGTTTATGAATATTCAATATTTGGCTGAAAACGGGTTTATGTCAAAACAATTTAATTAAAAAAGACAGACTTTTAAACAACTTTAAAATATGACTGAGTCAGTTAAAATGAGGGACACTGGATCACGTTAAGTAACATTTCAAACCATATTTTTTATCATGTTTCTGGCTTCAGCCATTATTCATTACCTTTTATACACGTTAAGTCAACATTACCACATCTGAATGGTAATTGCTCTCGTGTAAAAACAACACAAGCAGATAGATTTGGGTTATGTACACAAGCGTGCGTGCAGATATGTAGGATTCATTTGAGATGAATTAGTTTGATGTTTCCCTGCTTCACTGTCAGCCAGAATAAGATCCAAGCATGAGCTCATTTTTTTTTTTTAATAACGTAGCAGTTGAGTTGTAAAACTTGGAAGTTTGGTATGAAGGTGCTATAAATCTAGCTGATTGTTCAGAGTGTAAGTACAGGTGTAACCAGACGAGTGTGTAAAAGGCAAGCGGCTGGCAGTAAGCCCTGATTCTGTCTGTGCTCAGACCCAAGCTGCAAGAACTGACAGCTATGAAACAGCTCCTCTCAGGAGAAACTTACAGAAACCATTACTTAACTCCTGACAGGTAAAAAAAAAAAAAAAAAGTGTCAGTATTTTAAAGAAAACAATTTTCTACACAAGTCCAACAGGACATCTAAATGTCAGATTTTCTCCTGTTCTCCACACGCCCCTGTCCGTCTTTATTTTTCATTCAACCTTTAGGTTAGTCTCAATGAGCCTCCATGACTCATTTACAAGAGAGACCTGTATTAAACAAAGAACACAGATTAGGTACAGACAATGATAGACAATCATATAAAAGCATATAAAATGAAAAGTGAACAAAATAAATTATATAAAAAAAATTAAACAAAAACGGCTACATTTTAAAGCGATGTAAGATACTAAAAACAGGAACATGTCTGTGTTGGTTTTTGCCATGAACTTAGCAGATGTTTAGAGGTCAAGGTCGAGAGTTTCAAATCTTTTTGCAAGATATTCCAGGAAACGAGAGCAGAGTAAGAGAAGGCCCTTAAGAGAGTAAGAGAGCACACGCTGTAGCTGCACTCACGCAGAGACATGTAGGAGGAGATATATGAAGGCAGCAGACCAAGAAGTGATTTAAAGATGAAAATGTACCAGTGAGAGAGTCTGCGTGACGTTAATGATGTCCAGTTAACCAGTGAATACAGGGTGCAGTGGTGGGTATGGTAGTTACAGCCAGTTGTGAATCTTAATGAACCATGATAGACAGTGTCCAACCTCTGCAGATTGCTTGTAGGCGCGTTCATGTAAATAATGTCATCGTAGTCAATGGAGGGAAGAAAAGTCGCAGTTACCGTATTTTTCGGCCTAGAAGTCGCAGGTTTTTTTGCATAATTTACATGCCCTGCAACTTATACACCTAAGTGACTTATTTATGTTTTTTTCTCCTATATTTTCAAACCAATTTTTGGCTTAGCTATGACCGTTTTCATTCATTCTGACATTGAAAATATTGAACACTACCATTTTCAGCTGCTGGATGGCATTTGAGTTGTATGGCATGCCGTTGTCATGTAATAGGTAAAAGTGGCTATTAATGACACAATCGGCTTCTGCAAATCGGGTTTTAAAATGCATCTGATTTGACCATTAAAGTGTATTTATCAAGGAAAAGTTAGACTGAGACACATCTTTACTATAATTTCGAGCAAACAAATAATTGTTTTTAAGTTTTAATCTTGTTAAATTCTTGTTAAAGTCCTTCCGTGCATGGTCCCGCGGCCACCATTTGGTAACCCACGGATTTTTGGCACAACACCGGCCCACATTTCCGGGTTGTCAGCGGTGACGCATAATAGATTTGACTTGTGCGGCGAAGCGACTTGTTTTTTTTTTTTTTCCACTTTATTGGACATATTTGGACCGATGCGACTTATAGGACGGTGCGACGTTTATGGCAGAAAATACGATGCAAGATGTTTCCTAGCATTTAGAATTGGACAGGATCTATTTCTAAAAATAAAACCCAGTTTTACTTTCAGTTTCTTTACCAAGTTTTTGACAGTAGGCTTAAAACCGATGCGAATCAGCCAAGATGCCCAAGTCTTTATAATAATCCGCAAACTCGATAGGAACACCGTTCATAGATGAGATAGAAGGAAGGACTGCTGGGACCGACTTCCTGTTTGAAAACGACATCCCTTTGGTTATGTCAGCATTTAGCACAAGCTTGAGATGGAACAACAAATCTGAGTGGATAATGTCTAAAGCAGACTGTAAAAGCAGGAAAACCTTAGCAACTGTTCTAGCTCGACAATAAACAACTGTGTCATCAGCATAGAAATGTATATCAGGAAAGATCTGACCTACATTACTTATGTAGATTGTGAAGAGTCCGTTAACGTTCGTTTGTCTGTTAACTGGGCAAAAAGGAAGCAGTGGATATGAATCCTGGTCCTTCATGTTGAAGCAGAGACCTGGGACCAGTTGGAGCTCACTGGGTGACACAGCTGAAGTGATGTTTGTGACTGCAGAATGAGGCGCGTTACAAAGACCCTCAGCTCCCAAGAGGAAGGACATTTGAAAGCCGACAGCACGAGCAAAGAGCGCAGAGAAGAGCAGTGACAGACGCTTTGTGTTTGTTCATTCTGGGATGGAAGCGTTGACGACAGGCGTCTTACATCCTCGATGTTCACAGCCTGACTGGTCTTTAGGAAGCAGCAGCATGAAAATGTTTTTGTCATGGCAGCCTTGTTGTATATTTTACTAATTCTGTGGACTTTTGCTTCCAAAATGCATGCAGTAATCTTTGAATATACATCTACAGCTGATTATCTTTTGGAGACGGCATGATTCAAGATGGCTGCCACAGGAAAGTGACCTTAAACTGAAAAACGGCTATGCTTCTATCAAATTTATAGATATCCATCTAAAATTTGGTGTGGCAGTAGCTGAGACTGACCCATAACATGTACTCTAAGCACTAACAGATTGCACAAAAACCTCTGTTTAAAACTTTGGTGTTAACTGAAGTTAACTTTGTCTGTCTGTTAGCAAAATAGCTCATGAACCACTGGACGTGTTTTAATGGAACTTTTCAGAAACGTATCAATGGATGTACGACTACAACTGATTTTACTTTTGAAGACTAATCAGTTCAGGAAAGCTGCTACAGTCAACTTGCCATAAAAAAGGCTATATTTTAATCACTTACAAAACTGTGTTAAAATTGTATGTGGTTGTTGCTGAGAGGTGTTCACAAGATGTAGTCAAAGCACAGCTACCGCAATTGTATAAATTTTGCCTAAAACTATAGCATCAACTGTAGGAGCCAACCCTGTATATCTGTTAGCAAAATTTCTCATGAACCACTGGATATATTTAAATGAAACTTTCAGGAATTAATCATAGTAGTGACGTTTACAATTGATTAACTTTTGGAGTCAATTCAGTTCAAGATGGCCACCACAGCTTATTGATGTACACAAACATAAAAATGACTTTAACTTTGTCAATTTTTCAAACATTGAGCTAAAAATTGGTGCAGTAGTAGCTGAGAGTCATCCCCAACACATGCTCTTGAGCGTGACATCTCGCGATATTGCCTGAGA